TAATAAAAAAAACTAACTAGCTTAGTTTTATTTTTATTAATAGACTAGATTAAGTGATAATATATATATATATATATATATATATATAATTTATATTTTGTACAAATTAATGCATAAGTGTAGAAATTATTTAAGTTATTCATACAAGTTATACTTAATACAATATACATATTATATTACATAAATGGTATTATTTTTTATATATTTAATATATATTAATATTTATATATTGTATATATATATATATATATATATATATCATATTAACATAACTTACTGTAAATAATACTTTACTGCATTACTACAGTGTGTTATATAATATTTACTTATATTATATTTGTGTGTACAGTGAATTAAATCACAAAAAATTGTTACAAAATTCAACTAAATAATATAATTTAATACAATATGTAAAATGATATGATGAAAAATAACATAAAATATATTAATATCATTTCATATACTGCATAATATAATTATATATTCAAATATATACCGATTATTATAATATATATAATTTATATATTATATTAAATTATTTCAATATTAAAATTATTAAAAGCTAAATACAATTTACAGTATACTTGTATGTGATAATTAAAATGGTATACATTTTTAATATAAAATAGTAGAATAATTTAAATAATATTATTTAAAATAATTTCTATAAAATACAAAAATATATATATATATATATTAATAGTTTATTATTAATATTATTATTAAAATACTATAACTTTTCCATACATTTGGTTGAATCCTATATCACATATATCTATATCTTCTCCAAAGCGATGGATTATATGATTGAAATCTGCTATTAAATAGTTGTCGTCTCCGGTGTTCACCTTCTTTACGTCTGTTGTACTCCAATTGAAATTTTTGTTTCCAGTTTAGCTGATTGTTGTTATCATTATTACCACCGATGACGGCGACATTATTGTTGGCAAAGTTTGTCACAAACAATCTCATCCATTGATTGTCATCAGTGCACAACCGTTTCCAATAGCTATTTGTTTGCGACAATTGAATCACTGATGGATACGGCAGATATCGGATGACTCGTCGACAGACTTCTTCGGGCAATTCATTGATAGTTATGGCCAACAGAGCGACCAGTTTGTCGACAAACTCGTCTTTGAATCGCTTGATTGCCGATAGTTTTGTCTCTCGTATCCAATTGAGTCTAATGTTTGGCTGTTCATTGAGTTCATTGATAATAGCCGTACAATGTATTGAAAAAGACATGAGAGGAATGATAACCAATTGTATGTTAATATAATGACCACCAAAACGACGACTTTTGTATTGATAGTAGACTTGAATTCGTTCACTGGTTATGTCAACAACGCTTGGATTGCATTCAAAGCCATTTGTCGTCAGCAATGGTAACAACTTTTCAAATAAGATGTCAATCAATGGATTTTTGTTAGTCATCTGTGAATTGAATGCCATTTTCTTATAGTGAAAAAAAATTTTGAATATATTTTTTATTTTTGAATATTTATATTATTTGTTTGTTTGTCTATTCACGTGTTTATTATCTGAGTAAAAGTTGTAAATATTTTTTTAAAAAATATTTTTAGTAATAATTTATTACTTTTATTTATTCAATTAATTAGTAATTTTGGTAAAATAAAATTACAAATAAATATTAAAAAATGTCTTAATTGATAATTTTTTTTGTCATTTCTAATAATTTATTTAATAAATAATAGCAGTTTAGCTAAAATAAAAACTATATAATAATAAGAAATTTCATTTTTTTTTTTATTTTCTAATGTTTTTTTAGTTAATTTAATAATGAATTTTATTTTATTATGACAATTTTTATGACACTTAAAAAAGACAATTTAATATAATCATAAAAAATAAAAAGAAATGTAATATAAAAATTAAAATTAAACATAAAATGTTTCAAAATCTTTATATATATAAAAAAGTGTACATTTATATTGTTTAGCAAAAAAAATCAGAGAAAAGCAATTATTTTTTTTATATAATCATTTTATCGACACTTATATAAAGTATATGGCATTTAAACTATGTATTGTATAATTGGATGTTTTTATTTCAAATAGAGTCACAATTTATTTGAATTTTATCGATTAAATGTAAAAAATTTCTTTTTTGTTGTTGTTATAGATTTGATTTTTATCATAACTGAAAACCCAGACACTATTGTTCAATAATACTACACTATATTTATGTGTTGATATGTTTAGTGTTTAGTATTTACAAAATTTGATATAAAATAGTGATATATTACTGTATATTTGATTATTTAATTAGATTATTTCTAATTAATAGATAATAATAATTATTTAAGTTTACTAAAATAAAATTCAACTAAATTAATATAACATTATTGATAATTAGTTTATTATATTTAAAATAAACATTATCTTTAAATTAACTTTAAATAAAAGTTTTAAATAATCCATTAAAATAAAATCGTTTAGTTTCAAACGTTTTGTGGCCTAAAAAAAAGTTTATGTGTCAAACCATATATTTAATCTCAACTTAAATGTTAAAAACTTGGTTTATATTGAAAAGCAAATGCATTGCAAAAAGAGGAGAAAATAAAAATAAAATATAAAATAAAACATAAAAAGCTCTTAAAAGTTACATATTTTACTGTTTTTTTATTGAATTACTCTTAATTGCATTCATCGATTGACTTTCTCTCTCTCTCTCTCTCTCTCTCTCTCTCTCTCTCTCTCTCTCTCTCTCACTCACTCATTGACTCACTCATTCACTCATTCACTCACTCACTCACTCACTCACTCACTCACTCACTCACTCACTCACTCACTCACTCACTCACTCACTCACTCACTCACTCACTCACTCACTCACTCACTCACTCACTCACTCACTCACTCACTCACTCACTCACTCACTCACTCACTCACTCACTCACTCACTCACTCACTCACTCACTCACTCACTCACTCACTCACTCACTCACTCACTCACTCACTCACTCACTCACTCACTCACTCATTCACTCATTCACTCATTCACTCACTCACTCACTCACTCACTCATTCACTCATTCACTCACTCACTCACTCACTCACTCACTCACTCACTCACTCACTCACCCACTTACTCACTCACTCACTCACTACTTATTTACTGTACTTATAAAACATATTCAGTCTAAATCATTGGGGATTATCATGACTTTATTTATTTTTAAAAAAACATTTTAAGTTTGTCCATAAAACAAATAAAATGTAAAAAATATGCTATTATTATCATATTGTTATGTAAAAGTTAAATATTATTAATAGTTTTAACAGAAATTTTTTGACATGTATATAAAAAAAATTTAACATATGATTTAGTGATAAAGATTTAAATTTCAATTAAATCTATTATTATTATTATTTTTTGAAAAATAGTCTAAAAATAAACTAATTTTTCATAGTTTATATTAATATTTTAGACATTTATTTTTAATTTACAAAATTTTATTTATTTGATTATAATTTATAAAAATAATGACTAAAATATTTTTTATTTTCATATTTATGTTATCAGAAAAAATAGTATTAGTTATATATATAATATAAAATTTGTAAAAAACAAATTGAGTCATATTATAATATAATGTTGATATAGCAATATTTCAAATAATATTATACAGTAGTATATATATATATACAACAACTCCATAACTTATAAAAAATTGTTTACTAGAAAAATAAAATAAAATAATAAAAAAATTGTTTTTTAAACTGTACAATTTATTATTGGGTATCTTTAAATCATACAGATTTATTATTATTATTTTATTTAATGTTTTATAATTTAAGAGTTGGGCTAAAATAAAAACACTTACTATAATGTTTTATATATACTGTATATATACTATATTTAATACTATTTTATGGGAATTTATTTTAGATTTTTATTTTTCATTTCATTATTAATTACTATAATTTAATGGCTATAAAATAGAGTCTCTGGATATTAATAATAGTAATAATAATAGTAATAATAGTAATAATAATAAAAGTCACAATCCTAATATTTTATTATTGGGTGATATAATGTCTAGAATCAAAATCGGTAAATGTATTTTAGATATAAAATTGTTTTTTTTAAATATATATAAATTTCAAAAATCATGTTTCAATGTCAGAGCAATTTGTTTAATGAGTTTTAAATATCATATATAATTTATATGGTTTATAATACAGTGTATATTTACTATACTAACACACACACACACACATACATGTATAAAAATATATTGATTTTAAATTTTTGTATAATATATTTAATCTTAATTATCTTTATAATGTATTGGCTAAGCGTTTAACAATTTTGTTGAGAGTTTTGAAACTCAATAGTGTATACTGTATAATGAAATCTAAAATTTTTCAAATATACAGTAGATATATATACAGTATTATAAATTCAAGACAATTATATAATTAATACACTATATTTTGAATGAATAAATATAATGCACCGAAAAAATATCAATAAATATCTCATTAATTACTGTCAACCAATAAAATGGCATTTTTGTAGAGTAAAGATAAATAATTTATTATTAATTAGTATAGGATTAGTGAAACAGATTACGTAAAATAAGTTTTAAAAGTTTTGAAAGTATTTTATTATTTTTTATTTTTGGTTATACACAAAACTAATTTATAAATAATTTATTTATTTTTTTTGATAAACATTTAGCTAAACAAAAATTATTTTCTATAAACATAGAAAATAAATACCGTACAGTACTTAAAAAATAAATAAAATGAAAATATATATTACAGAAAAAAATAATAAAATTATAAGCACAATAAAAATCAAAATAGATTAAATGTAAAATCAAAAAAAAAGTTAAATAAAAAACAATTATTAATAAAATCTTAATTTTTTTTCTGTTAATTATAGATTTATAAAACGAAATAAATTTATGGAAACAAATTCAAATAAACAACAAATTTTTAACCAAAATATATGATTATTTGGAGACTCTATTCCTCAATATCTTCAGCCATAATATCTCCGAATGATTGGCTTAAAGCAAAACGTTGTGTACAACAGATATCATCGTCAGTGACACCAGTATTAAAATCTTGATAATCAGTGCCATTATTGTTGTGTTCATAGCTATCGTTAGTGTCGTCGAAGATCTCTTCTTCTTCATCTTCTTCTTCTTCATCGTCACAGTTGTCTTCATCGTCTGATCCAAAATTGATATCATTATCGATGGCGTATTGTTGACAACATTCGTCGCTACAGAATTCGTACCAATCGGTTGGCGATAACTGTTTGGTATGAATTTCGTCGACCGGTTTCAGACAAACCATACACCACTTCGACATCTTAACGTTGACCTCATTCTCGGCTCGCATTTGAATCAAATCGTCTAAAGCCCGCTGCCATCGACATGTCCGCAAACGGCTGGCCTCGATCTTGTCGGCAAACTCTGCTACGGCTTTGTTGACCGAATCGGCGTATATGTCCAGTTCTGTCATCTCGTACGGCAAGTTGACCTGAACGGCTGCTGTCTTCCGCCTACGATAACGTCTACGCGGAGGCCGTTCTACCGATTGGCCATCAGTATTGGTCGTCATCGTCGGCTGAGACATCGTCAATCTCTTCCTAATTTGTTTGACCACTTGTTCGCCGTTAAAGTCGACAATTGTGACCATTTTGCCGGACATTTTGATAAGTTTTTTCAGCCGATTCTGCTGCTGCTGTTGTGATTGTGTGGTCGACATCATCAGTGGCTGCGATAGTGTGGTAGACATCAGTGGCTGCGATAGTGTGGTCGACATCAGTGGCTGAGATAGTGTGTCCATCGATAGTGGTGTCAGTGATTCACAAACAGTTGATCCGCTGAAGTTGAACGGCGGCGCTGAAGATGACGGCATCTGTGACTGCGATAGTGTGTCCATCGATAGTGGTGTCAGTGATTCAGTTGAAACAGTTGTTCCGCTGAAGATTTGTGTCAACGGTATTGACGACAATAGTGTCTGTGTCTTCATTGTTGAGTCCATTGTCTAATCATATCATCAAATGGTAAGTGATTTTTGAGTCAAAAATTTTTTTTTATTATTTATTTTATTTGATTTAATAAAAAACAACAAAAAAGTTTTCAACCATTAATACCGCGCGCGCGAGCATAGAGATCGCCGCCGGCGGTGCTGTCGCTGACAATTTAACCGTACGGTTATTGTAATTTAGGTCTAGAGGTGTTAGCATTTAAAAAAAAAAAATTTGTTGAAAAAATTTTTAGTAAATTATTATTTACAACAACTATAGGTTTAATTAATTAATTAATTAATTAAATAAATTATATATTATTTGCATGTATACTTTCAACAAATTATATTAGAAATACGCGCGCGCGCGCGCGTGCTAATGCACGTGTAATAAATTATTTTTTGTTGTTGCATTGCATGTAAAGTTTAAATTTTAAGTATGTAGTATACATTTATTTATTTTTTTTAAAACTAATTAAATTAACTAAATTAATATAAATTTTATTATATTACGTGCATCATTGTTAATTGACTAAAAAATAAAATAACAAATATTATATGCTTGTTGAGTTTTCAATTTGATTATCTATATCTTAATTTTTATATAAGATAAATACAAAAAAAGACAAAACAAATTTTTTTTTCTTTTAAATTTAGTTTAAATCAAACAATTTTAAGTTTTATAACCTTTTTATGTTAAACGCATATATTTTTAGTATTTTAATAGAAACTTATTTTTTAATCTCTTAGAGTAATAATTAACTATAATTTTTGTTTGAAAATTAATTAAACTTTTATAATTTTATATCATTAATCAAAAAGTTTTAATATGATATAAAAATATTATTTATTTTTTTCCATACATTATAAGTTGTGATTGACTATAATTTATAATACAGTGTAGCATTACATTTGATAAGTTAAGTCCATTTATGATTTATCATTATTTTATTTATTTTTTTTATAAAATAAACAAAATTCACAAATGTGTGGACATAAATGTATGCATCAATTATTATTGTATATCAAATTGACTCATATATTCAATGGATTGACATATAATTTGGTTACAATAGATAGTAGAGAAAGAAAGAGAGAGAGAGAGAGAGAGAGAGAGAGAGAGAGAGAGAGAGAGAGGCTATTGATTATAACCTAATAAATGTGGACAATGTTTGGTGTGTGTGTGTGTGTGTGTGTGTGTGTGTGTCAATGAAAAAGTTAGTTTCAAGTAAAACAAAATTTGCATTTTTATCGCAATTTTTTCTTTGCATTCAATTGAGTCAAAACATCACTAAAAGTCATTAACAGATAAGATATATATACAATATATATATAGTATAGATATATATATATATATATATATACTGTATATTCATAAATATAGTTTAAATGGCAAAAGGGAAACACATTTGATATTCAATGAGACCATCATTTCAAATTGTGATACACTTTTCCCTGAGCTCTCTCTCTCTCTCTCTCTCTCTCTCTCTCTCTCTCTCTCTCTCTCTGTATGTGTCATCACTTGTGTGTATATAATAAATATCATCCGACAAAAAAAGTGTATAACTTCTGTATGACATTCAATACATTAGTGTATTCAATGAAATTGTATTTTTATTTTATTTTATTTTATTTTTGTTGTATATGTCTGACTCTAACTAACAGTTTATTTATTATATGAATTTATTATTTTTTTATTTTAACTATTTTGATTTTTTGTGCACTTTTTTGTTGTTGTTTATTTTCTACTCATATTTATGTTCAATTTTTTTGATATTTTTTATCTACATTTTATGTATAACTTATAATTATGTAAAGTTTAGTATTTGTTATGGTTATTATATATTTATTTATTTTAATTTGGGATTTTTTTCATATATAGTTAAAGTATTTCTATCACTTAACTTATATTTATTTTATTGTTTGTATTATTTATTTGAATGCTATTGTAATTTATTTTATTATAAATAAATGAATTTTAATTTTGAAATAATAATTTTAATTTAATAATTTTTAAAAATATATTAATTAATTTTAACGATGATATACATTATATAACATTTATTACTAACAATTTAACAATTTTTATGTGGCATTTAAATTTTGTTGTAATTAATTTTGGTTAAATGCAATTATAATTAATTGCCGGATATTAATAATGTATACTTTTGTTTTCATTAAATTACATTTGTTTTGAAATATAGTAAAAACATTTTTTTTATTATTATTATTATTTATTTTAGAGTATTTAATAAAAATTGTCCCAGACACATTAATTTTATGATTAATATCATTTGTCAAATAGACAATAAAAAGCAGATAACATAAATTTTCCAACAATTTGTCATAATATCATAAAAATTATTATTTTATAAATTGCTTGTTGACCACACACACACACACACACACATATATATATATATATATATATACAAACATACACACACAAACATTATAGATGACAATGTAGTGGACATTAAGTAAAAGTTTTCAATAATTGATAATTTAAAGTTGAATTGTGTTTTTAAAAAAAATATATAACAAATAAAAAACAATTTTATAGATAAAAATAGCTTAATGTGTGACAAATGTATCTCACACTTTGCACACTCACATACAGTTAGATTCTGTGACAAACATACAAATTGATGGCAAAAAAAATATTTTTTTTAACAAAAAAAAATTAAAAATCAAAGAGAAACAGCTGTACAACCATTTAGTCTTATTTTTTTGTTGAAAGTATTTCCGACACAATACTACTACTACTATATATAGTGCTTGACATTTGTCTTTAAGCGTGTTATGTATTATATATTATCGTAAAGTGAGAGCACTTTTACAGATATATATATATATATATATATACATAAAGATAGTGAAAAAACTAACTAAAATACAACAAATGGTTTTTAAAAAACAAATGATAGCAAACAATGGATGAATTGGCAGTCATAGTGTACAATGAAATAATGATAACCATTTTGCTGTGCCATCCATCTACTCGATGACTATCCCCTTGTTATACACACTTGAATACCAACAAATACTATACTTTGTTTTACACACATACACGCAAATACAAACACATATATATACACACACATACATATATACACACATATATACACAAACGCACACATACATACACACATACACACACACATACACACACACATACACACATACACACATACACACATACACACATACACACATACACACATACACACATACACACATACACACATACACACACACACATACACACATACACACATACACACATACACACATACACACATACACACATACACACATACACACACATACACACATACACACATACACACATACACACATACACACATACACACATACACACATACACACATACACACATACACACATACACACATACACACATACACACATACACACATACACACATACACACATACACACATACACACATACACACATACACACATACACACATACACACATACACACATACACACATACACACACACACACATACACACATACACACATACACACATACACACATACACACATACACACATACACACATACACACATACACACATACACACATACACACATACACACATACACACATACATACTCACACACACTATACATATAAATATACAAACTGAAATAGCTGTACTAACTTTCATATATATATATATATATATATATAATCTAAAGTTATATAACAATAATATTTTGATTTTTTTGTGTTTTTTTATTATTATCAATATATAAAGTATATATGTATTATATTTCTCAAAACTTTCACAATTAGTGCTGATTGTAGCGATTTTTTGTTTGTATATTATTATTATATACGCGATCTCTATTACAATTATTGTGTCATATATTTTATGTCACATACCCTACTATCCCGTTATAATAATAACGTTAGTAGTAATAGTAATAGTTATGGGCACCCGTTAGCCGATACAGTGTGTGTTTAATCTACTGTTTTATCAGTCATATGCCGACTAATACACTATTTTTAGTATTGTATAAAATTTTTTTGTTGTTAAATATCAAACATATCAGTATTTTTGTTGTTGATATTATTTCTATATGAATAGTGTGTATAAACAATAAATGCCAAAAACTACAAATATAAGCACTTTTATCATCAGTAAAAATAATTTAGTTATTATATAAATTTATTTTGTATTAATTTGTCATATAATTATAAATACTACAAAATATACTAATTTAACTTTTATAATATTAAAAATAAATTTTTTTTATTTATTGTCAATTTCAATAACTTATTTATTATGGACATTAAATCTATAAAACTAACTGTAGACTAAATATTTATTGCTATTTACAATTTATTTATTTATTTATATTTATACAACTAAATATATAAATTTTTATATAAATAGCTATAAGTTTGTTTATTTTATTAAATAAAAACAATGATATATCAATATAATAATATTTTATTTGTTTTTATTTATTTAGTTTAATTTAAATTATAAAAACATTTTTTTATATTTTAAATTACGAATCTAAAATTGGTTTTTTAGAAAATTAATCTTGATAAACATGTTTATTAATTACTTAAGTATTTTTTTGTACATTAATTTGTATCAATATACAGTATTTTATGATTTATATTAATATAATTAATAATTACTGTACATATTTGAAATTAAATTAATATTTATTATTTAAATTTATAGTCAGTATAATTTTTTTTTAAAAATATTTTCATTTAAATGTCTATTTAATAAATTCCAAGTTAAATATTTTTATTGTTTTCTTTATATTATATAAAATAAAATACTCTATGAATATAAATAGTAGCAATTATATTACATAAATTTTAGGTTTTTTTTTGTTAGTATAAATAAAGTCATAAATTTTCAATTTATATGTCCTATGAGTTTAATAAAATAACGCTTGAATAATATTTGGTATACAATATAATGGCCAGTAAAACAATAATACAGTAAATTAAATATTTTTATTTTGTTTATTTATTATTATTATTATTTTTAACATGGCTAGTTTTATCAACCATTAATATATTTAAATATTTATACAATATTTTTGTTGTTGTTTTGTTGTTGTTTTGTTGTTATTATTTGCTATTTTACTTATAATTAGATTTTTATTTTCATAAAAATTTTCTAGTGTTCATACAATTGGAATAATACTATTTTCATTAATTAAATAAATTATTTAAAATTTTAATTTATCTAAATTATATAATTTAATATTCAATTCATGTTTGTTAAATTGTATAAATATAAAATAAAATAAAAATAAATTTTATATAATTTCTAAACGTTGTTACAATAATTTTAATTTATTGTATGACTACTACTAGTGTTGTTATTTTTTTAATTAATTTTTGTTGTTATTATTGTTGTCTAACTATTAAGCATTAGATTGACATCACTAACTTGAATAAGACTGTCTGGAAAAATAGTTTTAAATAATTTTTTTTAATAAAAAAAACTAAACACAACTTTACTTATTTTATTTTTTATGATTATTCGTTAATTAATAATAGATTGAATAAATAAATAAAAAATCTATTCGCAAAAGTTTGCATTGATTTTTCTCTTTAAAATATTTATTTATTTATTTTGTTGTGGTTTTTTTTGATTTGAAAATTAAAATCAATGATTTTTTTTTGGTTTGTGTTAGTGTGTGACATACAGTAGTTTTCAAAAAATATACATAATTTAATTTTTAAGTGTATTCTCGATTCTTGTGAAAGTGAAAACAAATTTTTATTTTTTAGTTTTAGTTTTTAAATCCAACTATTAGTGTAAACTACTACTGCTAAACACACTGTACTAATATATTCAGTAATTATAGGGACATAAACTGCTTTAAATACATGGTTGTCATTAACTTTAACATTACATAACAGTAACAACATATATAAAGTGGTTATCTCTCAGTGTGTGTCAAATGTTAGACATTGTCTCTCTCTCTCTCTCTCTCTCTCTCTCTTTCTTTCTTTCTCTCTATACATATATCGTTAGACATTAAAGGATCAGATAATTTGTTTAGCTTTGAGACAGAGAGTCACCAAAAAATCATACATATTATGTATAAAACACACACATATAATGCATATACTCGTTGTCTATTACACACAACACACACAATAACTAGACGTTAATTTTCAGCTCATTTTTATCAATATATTGAGAGAAATACAATAAATTACTGTTGTTTTACAATATACTGAATATATATATACAACAGTTAATGGATATATTGTGCTCAACCATCACAACAACAACAGCTTATTGTTTAAAATAGCAAATACTTTGTCCCTCTCATGACATCCATTTGCTATCTCTCTCTCTCTTTCTTTCTCTTTCTCTCTCTCTCTCTCTCTCTCTCTCTTACTTTCTTTCTTTCTATTCTTGCATTTATTTTTGGTTAGCAATTGTATAATAAAGTAATTTAAAAACATTAGTCGCATTTGATTTCTTTTTTGTTGTAGTTATGATATTATTATTATTGGCCAACAAAGATGACTATAATCTATATATTAAATGTCATAAATATGTGACCCAAAGGCTCCATTCAATTGATACCAATATATATATAAATAGTACAGTAATTGTCTGTCATTTAGCTTATGGCTTCATTAGCATTAAGTTTTTGGTATATTTGAAGCAACATTTTTATTAGTTTACAATTTATTATCTATTGAATATATATATATAAATTTATATATAAATGTTTATGTAATAACTTATATATAATTTATATATATATGTTGTTTGTTTGACTTCTTATAAAAGTTTAATATCAAACTTTTTTTTTATTTAAACACACACTTACCTTACATTACATACATATTCATTCAAACAATAGCATTTAGTATACAGTATATACTAAATGCACTATAATATATAAATATATATATATATCCTTTTTTGTTTAATGCATTATTAATGATAGAGAAATAACTTTTGTATGCAAAATATACGGAATATTCCTTAAGGAATATTCTTTACAAATCAATATATTGAATGCACTTTTATAAAGCATAGAGAGTTGTGTGTGTGTTTGTCAACTCATTGTTTGCTGAAAAATTTCAATTTTATTTAATTTTTTATTCATCATTCATATATATTAAATAAATATATATATATATATATATATATATATATGTCTTATCAATTTATTTATGTGATCAATAGTTTTTCAAATTTAATAACATTTCGTTTGCATAATTGAATGCCTAATATTTTTCTAATTGAACTTATAATAATTTATGAATGCATATCGTTATTATTATTATTTATTTACTAATAACACACTATTGATTTATTATTTATAATTGTTAATTAATTTATATTAATATAAAAGCATACAATAACTGAATACTTATTAAATTTTGTACAAACAATTTATTAAAATTTATAATAATTAACTACAATCATTAAAAATAGATTATAAAATAAATTATAAAATAATATTTAAAATGTAATATAAAACAAGCTTAAAATTTAATTATTTTTAATAATGTTAATTTATTTTAGATTAAACAACTGATAACCTTAATAAATGTAAATATTTATTTGAAATTAATTAATGATTCAATAAATACTATAGATTAATTTGTACTGTAATTATTTTTTATTATTTCATTGACATATTTTGATCATTTAAAAATTTATAATGTAATAATAATAATAATAATAATAAATTAACAATTAATAATAATTAAGCTATTATTAAAAAAATTATTTAAAAAATAAATACTTTATTATTTACCGTTATTTTCATTTTCTACAAACAGTTTTGTAGTTTAAGTTTAAATATAATTTTCTAAATTTATTTGTTATACTATACTTGTATTGTAGTTATAAGTATGACATCTATTAAACTGTGTTTGAATCATAAAAAGTTATTTATCACGAAATTTATCAAATAATTGTATTAAAATTTTATTTAATAATAATAATAATATTTTTATAATTTGTATAATCAAATTATTTTGAAATAATACTTTATATTTTATAATATGTTTTATTAAAAAAAATATCTAATTGTTTTTATATTTGTTTTGTTTTTAACAAATAATAAGTTATAAATTTCTATATGAGATCTTATTGACCATACATTTAATAATAATTAATTATTAACAGTTGTTTAGTAATTAAATAATCCTTCAATTAATTTGATCTTTTAATTAAACAGTTTTTATTTTTTAAAAAGTTTTATTAAATAAACATAAAACAATTAAAATTAGTATATTTAAAAATAGCAGTGTTTAGTTTTTTATATACAATAAAAATTTTATAATTATTTTTTTATTTAAAAAAAGCTTATAATAATCTTTTTAATGCAATGATTTTTTTGATACAAAAATACAGTAATTTTGATTTAGACAAATTTTTAATTTGATAAAAAAAACATTTTAATAGAAAAAAATAATTATATTAATATTTATTTAACCATAATATGGATATACATAACCGTTTGGATAATAATATCCTGTCGGATAATAACCATTATTATAACCGGCACCTGTATTACCAATCGGTACAATCGGACCATTAGTGGGATTAGGGTTATTGTTGGCACCGTTAGCCGGCTGTGTATTATTTGCCGGTTGCGGATTGTTTGATAAACCATTAGCTGTAGTACCTGATGAGTTGCTGTTACCGATACCGACAACTTGATTGCCGCCACCGTTTTGTGTGACAGTTGGCGATAATCCCACACCAGATTGTGGTGATGTCTGATTTTGACCCAGGGTATAGTCTATATAATTCAATTATATTTTTTAGTATTAGTTAAACTTTATTTTATGGCATTTATACACAACAACAACAAAAAACTTACGGCATATTATCAAAGAAATTAAAGCAATAATTATTGATAAACTGATATGCATTTTGTTTGTTTGCAATGATTTTTTTTGTTGGTTTATACAGTATATATATAAATATAAATCTTTACTTTTTTATGATAAAAATCTGATACAAATCAATAGTTTTTATAGTCTAATTGTTAATCCCCTACACGTGTTTAATCTAAATTGTAAATAAAAAAATAATTTTTTAATTAGTAAATACATCATATATTTTTGTTTTGATTAAATATTTTTCCACTATTTCACCTGAACATTGATTTATCAAATTCATAGCATAAATATGTCAATAAATTAATGATTTATTAATTAAAACAATGGTTATAGGCGTTAAACAATTTATGAATGCCTAAACTATATTGTAGATCATATTATTTATTATATTATATATTTATTTACTAATAATCAACAATTGATTTAATAATTTACTATATAGTAAGTTTCCTAAATTAAATATATAAGCTATTGATAGATAGATATATATATAGTAATTAAATAGTTTATGATAGTTAATTAACTTATTTTTTAATGATTTTATTAATTTTATAATAATATAATATATATATATATAGATATTTATTTAATTTTATATTAAAAATTAATTAACAAAGATTATAAAATAATTAATTTATTAGTTAATTTAACAATGTGATTTAAAACAATTATTTATTATTTACACAATTAGTTATTTATATAAAGTTATTAAACTATTTTTAGATTATGTATTAAACAACTAATATATCTAATAAATATGAATATTAAAAACTTAATTAATAATTTGATTAATTAAATACTATTAAAATTTAGTAAATTAAAATATTATAGATTAATTTGTACTAAAATTCAATTTTGCATAATTACATTGACAAATCATAACATAATTTATAATATTATCAAAAATATTAACCAATCTTTTAGTTAACAATTTTTATTATTATTATTACTACTACTGAATATTATACAGTATGTGTGACATCTATTAAACTAGATTTATATTATAAAAATTAGTCTATTAAAGTATATAATTCAATATTGAATAATTGTTTTAACATTAATAATAATAATAATAATAATAATAATAATAATATTTTTACACTTCATATTATTAAATTAACTTTAAAATATAGTATTTTAATTATATCCTTAATTCTAATTATTTTTGTTTTGTTTATTTCAACAAATTTTCATTTAATTTTGACTTTTAATTTTAAAGTTTTTAAATTTTCTGTATATTTGATATTAATATTTATTGTAATTGATTAGTAATAGGTGTTTAGTAAATAAATATATCTTAAATTTATTAAATATTTAGTTTCAAAAAAATTTAATATAATAAACACAAAACAATTAAAAATACAATTAAAGTATATTAAAAAAATATTAATAAACAAACAAAAATCTTATGGTATATAATAACAACAAAAATTAAAGCAATAATTATGGATTAATTGATATGCATTTTGGTTATTTAAAAATAACTTAAATTTTGATATAAATTTGAAAATCAAAGTTTTTAATTAATTTTTATTAGTTTTCTGTATTAAATCCTAACCCTAAATATTATTGTAATAAGAATTTAAATTTAATCATAAATCACAGTTTGATTTTACTAAATATTTTTGCAGTACATTTTGAACATTTATTTATCATGTATTTTGAAATTATTATATAATTTAAATTTATATTTTGATTTTCTGTAATCATAACCAAATATTATATGAATTTTAAACAATAATATTAATATCAAAATAAATTTAATTAATCAATTTATAATATTTTTCAAATAGTAATTAATATTAACAAATGTTTGCAAACTGTATGCAGTTTTATTATCATACAATATCAATATTTTTATTTAATAAATATTGTTAATATAATAGTAATACATTTTGATGCAAATTAAAGCTATAGTATATAACGTAGTTTTTTGTGAATATATTTTAATAGTAATTATAAGCCAATTGTTGTTAATTGTATCAGTTTTGTTGCCGCCATTATTGACTAATTTATATAATAATAATTATTATTATTAAACCTGGTCAGTTTAATTATATTGAATATTTTTTAAATACCAGATTATTCATATTTTATAATCCGATTTTACTGTATATTATAACAAAATAATTATATACTATATATAATTCAAATATAATATTATATATAATTAAATAAAATTATTAATGATTTTTTAAAAAATAATTTATTATTTTTCTTATTTAATTTTTAATAATTTTTTACAAATTGTATTTAAACCTTGAATGCATATTTTTTTTAATTATAATAAGATTTTACATTATAATTAGAAACTTTGTAAAACAATAAAGTAAAGTACATATTAATAATAATATATTTTATTATATTTATTTGCCAAATCAATATCCATAACCATAATCTGATTGTTCATATGGATTGTAATCCATGTTATAATCCATACCATTATTATAGTTATAATAGTCGGGACCATAATAGTCTCCCATCGGTCCTGGAGCTGGGGCTACCATACCAGGGGCTACCATACCTGGGGCTACCATACCTGGAGCTACCATACCTGGAGCTACCATACCTGGAGCTACCATACCTGGAGTTACCATACCAGGGGATACCATATCAGGGATTACCATACCTGGGGCTACCATACCAGGGGCTACCATACCAGGGACTATCATACCTGGAGCTACCATACCAGGGGCAAACATACCAGGGGCTAACATACCAGGGGCTACCATACCAGGGACTACCATACCTGGTGCTACCATACCTGGGGCTTCTCCATTACCGATTCCAAATTGACCATCACCATTAACTCCATGTTCAACTTGATCATCACAAGTTTCGTCATGTTCAATATGACCATCACCATTAACACCATGTTCAATTTGACCATCACCATTTACTTGATTTTCAATTTGACCATCACCATTTACTTCATGTTCAATTTGACCATCACCATTTACTTGATTTTCAATTTGACCATCACCATTTACTTCATGATCAATTTGACCATCACCATTTACTTCATGTTCAATTTGACCATCACCATTTACTTGATTTTCAATTTGACCATCACCATTTACTTCATGATCAATATGACCATCACCATTAACACCATGTTTAATTTGACCATATTGATTAACATTATTTTGACCATGTTTATTTTTTGAATGTCTTCTTATATGTCTAGATTGAGCTAAAATTATAGATATTTAAAAAAATATTTTATTATTATTATTATTAACAATAGCATATTTAGTAAATATTATAATATATATATTTTTTCTAAAAAATAGTATTAATTAATACTTACTATAAACTGCAAATAAAACTAAAAGAAAAACCAGAAAATGCATCGATTTATACATTTTTTTGTTGATAATTATTATACAATAAATTGTTTTCAAATTACAATATAAAAATCAGTTATTTATTCATTAAATTTAAAATCAAATAACAATCGCTTGTTTTATACCATCGATAGTTTCAATACAATAAGGATATAATAGTTTTGAACATCTGTTATAATTTATTAAATTTTTTTTTACAAAAAAAATAACTAATACTATAGTACTGTATATTATTTTATAATTATTATTCATAAATTATAATATAGTATATTCAGTACCAAAAAAACTTTTTTATTTTAAACATGTTATTTTATATACAATTAATTAATTAAAAAATAAATGTACAGTAAAGACAAATATATTTATATACTGTATATATATGTGTTTTAAAGTTAAAATTTAAAAATAATTATTATTATAAAACTTTTAGTTAGTCAGACAATATGTGTCAACTGCTAAAACTTATGTCACAAATTGTTTTCAATAATAATAATAATAAGTTTTTCAATTATAATTAAGTAGTGGATATATTTAGCAATAGTTAGATTTTAAATAATTTAAATTGAAAACAATTTTTGATTAAATTTTAATAATATATTAAATTAGATTCTTAACAGTTTATAGTTTATTGTTGTTAACAATATTTGTTACTATTTCATATTATTATTATTATTAAACCTGGTCAGTTTAATTAATTATATTAAACATTTTTTGAAATATCAGATTTGCATTTTATAATACGATTTTACTGTATTTTATAACAAAATAATTATATACAGTATATATTTATACAATTATAGAAAATTATTATTGATTTTTACAAACAAACAAAATAATTGATAATTTTTTTATGATTGTATTTGCTTAATAATAATAATTTTAGAAATTTATTTTATTTGCTTATCCATATTAAATGCATTTATTATTTTTAATAATAAGATTTTACATTATAATTAGTAACTTTATATATATATATATATAAAAACAATATAATAAAGTTTACATATATTAATAATAATAATAATATATTTTATTAATAATTACGATCTCCAATTTCAATTTGATCACGATCATTTCTTGCATCTCCAATTTGACTATGATCAATTGTCTAGAAGTTGACCCTCATCAACTGATTCATGTTTATTTTGACCATGATGATTTACTACATCTAGAAGTTGACCCCCATTAACTGATTCATGTTTATTTTGACCATGATGATTATCATCTAGAAGTTGACCCTCATCAACTGATTCATGTTTATTTTGACCATGATGATTATCTTCATCTAGAAGTTGACCCTCATCAACTGATTCATGTTTATTTTGACCATGACCATTTACTTATTATTATTATTAACAATATCATTTTTTTTAGAAAATTATAATAAAATATAATTAATTATTTATTTTTGTTTGTTTGTAAAAAATAATAGTAATTAATACTTACTATAAACTGCAAGTGAAACTAAAATAAAAGCCAGAAATTGCATCGATTTATACATTTTTTCTATAATAATAATAATTATACAATAAATTGTTTTCAAAATTACAATATAATAATCAGTTATTTCTATCAATAATGTAAAATCAAATATCAATCGCTTGTTTTTATACCATCGATAGTTTCAATAAAATACGGATATAATAGTTATGAACATCTGTTATAATTTATTTTTATAATTATTATTCATAAATTATAATATAGTATATTCAGTACAATTTTTTTTTTTAAATTTAAAGATGTTATTTTATACAATTAATAATTTACTCTATAATATATGTTTTAAAGTTAAAATTTAAAAAAAATATTATGATTAATATTTCTATTGTTCTAAATATGCATAAAAATTATTACTAAATAACATATTTATTAAAAAAATATATAATTAATTATTTATTTTAAATTTAAAAAAAACTTTACTTTCAAGTTTTTATTTAATTTATTAATTATGTACATGTTTTTTTTGATTTTATATTTGTCACTAAAATTTATTATTTGCTAAATATATGCTTAAAAATTGTTGTATTAATCATACAATTTTTCTGTCAATCGGTTAAAATTTATGTCACAAATATTGTTATGAGTAATAAAATTAAATGTTTAGACATTTATTTTAAAAAATTGTTATCCTGTTATATTGGATTTAATATAACTTTATTATATAATTATAATTATTTTCCATATCCATAATTTGGTTGTCCATATGGATTGGTAATCATTATCATAACCAATGTTATAATCCATACCATTATTATAATCTCTATAATCTGGACCATAACGGTTTACTATAGGTTCAAATTGACCATTACCATTAACACCATGTCCCAATTGTCCATTACCACTAACTCCCTGTCCATGTTTTCTATCATAAATTTGTTTATTGGATGCAAACTATCGGTAATTTTTTTTGTCACACCATTAATTGATTTATATACATATGCTTTTAGATGGGGCTAAAAATATATATATGTATAAATAGGTATCTTATTTAAATATTTTCTTATTTTTTAAATAATATATTTAAAAATTTATAATAGTTTAATAACATTTACTAATACATACAATAAACTATTAGTGAAACTAATAGAAAAAACCCAGAAAATGCATTGTATTATTCATTTTAAATAATTATTGTACAAAAAAAATTGTTAGATATTTTTTTGAATTAAAATTTTACTTAAATTACTAAATATTAAAAGCAAATAAAATCATTTATTGCTTATATACTATCAATAGTTTTAATATAATACTTATAAACATCTGTTATTATGTATTTTTTAGCTATAATAACTAATAAAACTTTATAGTATTGTATAATAATTATTCATAAATTTTAATATAGTAGATTAATAAAGTACTAAATAAAAGTAAATGTTTGTAATTTTATATTAATAATTTATTTAAAACAAATGTATAGTACAGTTAAAAATATAGATGTGTAAGTATTTCATAGTTTAAATAATTAATTATTATGATTTCTATGTTATCTATTGTTTAATAGTGAATAAAATATGCTTAAAATTAATTATTAAATAACATATTTTTTTAAAAATAGGATATTTTAATATAGGAATTTGAAATTTAATTCAATTATTTTTTATTAATTAATTAAATACATATTTCGTCAGTTATATAAAGTTTGTTTTGAGTTTTGAATTAAGTCTTAAATCTTAAATTAGATATTAATATAACAATCAAATGCAAAATTAAAAATGATTGTTAGTGTTATTAATTTTAAATATACTTTTTGTAGGTTATGTAATATATGTAAATTTTAATCAAATCTTTTATGATTTAAAAATACTATATTGTTTTTATTAGAGTTAATATATAAATATTATAAAATAAAATATTTCAAAAATAAATTAGCTAATTTTAAAAAACTTTTAATGATTAAACATAAATCATAAAAATTAGAATCAAATTATTGAATATTTATTATTATTATATATTATAATGTTTTAAAATACATGTTAAATGATAACTATTATCGAATATTTTAGATCTTCAAGTTATAACTTAGTAAATCATTTTAACATTTTTTTAAATTAAAAAAATTAAAACATTATTTTCCATAAAAATAAAACGGATATCTTCGGGGATAATAGTTGGGCTGATTATAGGTTTGTTGTTGTATTGGTGTCGGTGTCGGTGATTGTGTGCTGTTATTAATAGTACCGGTATTGACCTGAGGATTGTTATCATTGGCAATGTTTGTGGAGTTTACTATTTGAGAAACATTTACACCGGCATTGATTTGATTTTGACCTAAAAAAAGAAACATAAATTTAAACAATTAATTATTATTATTTTTAAATAAAAATATTATATATTTATTTATTTATCATTGCTTACTATAGACAACCAGTGAACATAATACTAAAATAACAAATCCGATTTTTAGATACATTTTTTTTGTTGGTTTATTTAAAAAAAATATTAATATCAAAATATATAATACAAATATTACTAAATATTTGATCCTTTTTTATACTATTGATAGGTTTAATACAATCCGGATATAATAGTTTTGAACATCTGTTATAATTTTATTTTTTAAGTTAAAATAACTTATAAAAGACAGTATATTATCGTAATATAATTTTAAAATAGTAGTGTAATAAAATACTAATTAAAGGCTTAAGTGATAAATGTTATTTTTTAGTACAAACAAACAAAATTTGTATTTTTAATTTATTTGAAACAAATGTATAGTATAGTTAAAAATATTGATGTATAAGTGTTTCATTATTTAACTAATTAATTTTTATGATTTTAAAATATCTATTGTTTAATAGTGAATAAAATATGCTTAAAATTAATTATTAAATAACATATTTTTTTAAATAGGATTTTGAAATTTTATTTCAATTATTTTTTTATTCATTAATTAAGACATATTTAGTCAGTGATATACATTTTTTTCAAATTTTATTAGAGTTTTGAATAAAGTCTTAAATCTTTAAATTAGATATTAATATAAAAAATCAAATGCAAAATTAAAAATGATTGTTAGTGTTATTAATTTTAAACATATTTTTTGTAAATTATTGAATATATCTAAATTTTAATCAAATCTTTTTTGATTTAAAAAATACTATATTTTTTTTATTAGAGTTAATATATAAATATTGTTAAATAACATATTTAAAAAAATTAAGTAATTTTAAAATTTTAAATGAATAATAAATTAATACATAAATAATTATTATTTTATTTTATTTATTAGAATCAAATCATTGGATATTTTTATTATTATATATTATAATATTATAATGTTTTAAAATAAATATTAAATGATAACTATTATTGAATTTTTTAGATCTTTTATTTATAACTTAGTAAATCATTTTAACATTTTTTTTAAATAAAAAAATTAAAACATTATTTTCCATAAAAATAAAACGGATATCTTCTGGGATAATAGTTAGGCTGATAATAGGTTTGTTGTTGTATTGGTGTCGGTGTCGGTGATTGTGTGCTGTTATTAATAGTACCGGTATTGACCTGAGGATTGTTATTATTGGCAATGTTTGTGGAGTTTACTATTTGAGAAGCATTTACACCGGCATTGATTTGAGTTTGACCTAAAAAAAAGAAAAATAAATTTAAATAATTAATTATTATTTATTAAATAAAAATATTATATATTTATTATTGCTTACTATAGACAACCAGTGAACATAATACTAAAATAACAAATCCGATTTTTAGATACATTTTTTAAAAAAATATTAATATCAGTATATGTATAATACAAATATTATTAAATATTTTTAATTTTACAAAGAATTGAACACTTTTTTATACTATCTATAGTTTAGTTAGAAACCGGACCTATTTGACGGATAACACCTGTTTATAAAAATATTTAATAATTAACATAAAATAGACAAACTTGATTTTTTTTAATTTATAAAAAAATTAATTAATTAATTTTATATTTTTATATTTAGAATAAATCATTAAACACAATATGTTATTGTAACAAAAAAAATGTGTAATTTAAAATTGAAATAATTTTTACAAAAATTAATCATTTATATTAGTAAAAAATTGCTAATAATTATCAATAAATTTAGTCAAATAGTTTATCTTAAAGAATAAGACTTTAAAAAAATATAATTTTTCATTATAACTTTTATATTTTTATTTGTATTATTGTAATTAAAATAAACAATTCAAACTATAAATAAATTATATTTTTAATTTAATAATAACATTAATGACAACAATTTTAAGAAATCTTTAGTAATTTTACATATACTAAAAATATGTATTTAATTATATGACAACAATAGTAGAAATAAATAAAATAAGTTTAATATAATATTTTATGTTTAATTATTATAAATTATGAAATTTTAAAATTATTAAAATTTATTTAATGAATTATTTAATAATATTTTTTTTATTAATAAACATTTTTTATCTAAATTAAAATATTTATATAGGAAATAGTAGAATATGAATTAATCATAATATTATAAACATTAAGATAATTTTAATCGTAATGTTTTAATTATATAATTATCTTAACAATAATAGAAATAATGATAATTACATTATTTTGGAATAAATTATTATTAATTTTTTTCGATGCTTAATCAAATTTTTATTCATCAATTTTGATAAAATTTATAATAATTTTATTAATAACAATTTCAATTTTAAAACTAAACTAGAAAATTCAATTTATTTGTATTTCGGTTTTCAAATGTTTAGCAATTATTAACCTCGATGCCATCCTCCTCTATTTCTACGACCATAGAAACCATTACCTCCATAACGGCCATTGAAACCATTACCTCCATAATCACCATAATCGCCACGTAAACCATTATTTAATCCATAACCACCAGGGACAACAGGTGGGACAGATACATAACCGATAGGGGCAATATTAGGAGCAAAACCGCCAGGGTTAGCACCATTACCTCCATAAGCTCCATTTGGATTTCCATAACCATAATTACTTATTGGCTGACTGTTAGGAGGATATTGATAATTATTTTGCGGCATTCCTTGTTGACCCGGTTGACCCTGACCACCATTCACATGTAGACCTAGGTCAATTGGACCACTTAGATTGCTATTGTTGTTATTTTGTGGACTGTTGTAATATTGAGTTTGTCCTATAAAAAAATTATTAATTTGCTTATTATTTACTATTACTATATTTAGTATAATAAAAAATTAAACATTAAATAAAAACAATAATATAGCTTACCATAGACAAACGATGTTATTAATATTATACATATTAATTTATACATATTGTCGACTTTAATAAACAATATTATATTTTGAATTTTATTATTTAAATATCAAAATATTATATAATTTTTAACTTTTTCATCTATTGTTTTTATACCATCGGATTTGAATTGGAAAATTATTTTAATATAAATTAAAACATGTGTTATGAAATTGATTAATTTGAATATATTTATAATTAATTAATACGTTAATTAAAATTATAATGTTTACATTTGACCTAAAATCACTTGAACTAAACAAAATTTGTACAAATTTATTTGAAAAAACGACGATTAAGTTTATACTATACTAAAAATACCATAAATTAAATACCATCTGATTTTTTTATTAAATAACATTTTTATATATTTAAATAGATTTTTTTATTTATATTATTTTATAAATATTTAAACTATTTTAGTTTTTTGTTTAATTATTATTTATTTTTAAGTAATAATAATAAACGTATATCTTAAAGTTTAAAAAGATAAAAATTATTTTAGTATTTTATCATATTTTTTATTAGTTAAAATTTAATGGGACAAATAGATATAGACATTTTACATATACATTAATTATAAAAATTTGTATTACAGATTCATTTACAATATTAATGAATATATTACCTAACAAATGTTTTACGTATTAAATCTATTAATTATAAAATTTTAGATAATAAGGAAATTATATTGAGTTTATTTTAAATTACATAAAAACAAAATTTTAAATGACATTTTTACTAAAATTAATTATGTATTTTACAAATAATGAATAATTAACCATTGTTACTAAACACACTTAATATTAATAGTTTTATTTTGTTAAATATCCTAGTCAATTTATTAAATAAATATCTTTATTATTTTATTTATAAATTATGTATAATATGGAAATTTACAACTTTTGGTTAATGCAATTAATCTTGGTCATTTATTTTGTATTTTTTATACAAAATTTAATATATTTAAATATTTACAATTTATTTTTTAGTTTAAGGTTTTAAAGTTTAGACACCTAATTATGTTACTATTTATAAAATTCATAATATATTGAATATTGAAAAAATAATATATTATATATATATATAAATTGCATTTATATTGTATATCAAATTGAGATATTAATGGCGATCTAATTGATAATCGGGTAGATTATGAATTATATTATGATAAACATGTGTTTTATTAATATAAATATTATTAATTTGTTTTTTAAAAATAATTACAATAACTATGATATAGTTTTGATTAAATCATAATTTTAAAAACAATTGTTACTTAATGGACGGGTAGATAATACAGGTACTGGCGATAATGCACTCAATATTAATCAGTAATTTATTAACTATTTTATATACATATATAATAGATTTTTATTTTTTTTTTAAATTTTATTTATTAATAATTATATTTTGATTAATACGATTTAATTTACAATTAATTTTATTTATTTACTTTACAATATTTATGCAGAAAAAAACTGGTATTTATTATTATTATTATAATTAACTGAATTTATTGTTATAAGATTTTACATTTAGTTTAGATTAAACATAAAAATATAAGTCAATTACAGTCTATATTAATCATAATGTATTTATGATTATTTGCCATAATTATAACCGTATGGATAATAGTTATAACCATAACCGTAACCATTTCCATAACCCGTACCATAACCCGTACCATAACCTGTACCATAATTGTAGCCATTATTACCGACACCATAACCAGTTCTACCATCACCAATAGTAGTTATGGGTCCATTAACACCACCAGTTGAACCACCTCCAATAGGTGTTATTGGTCCATTGACGCCTCCATTGACACCTCCATTGCCGCCATTTCTGTATCCAAAAACACCGCCATTATTATAGCGGGCAGTATTGCCATCATTGTCCAGATATCCAATGTCCTGGTTATTGGTGTTATAGATACGATTGTTAGCTCCGACATAGCCCACCAGCTGGCCATTGTTGTAGACATAATTGTTGGCTCCATTTCCACCGTTTACACCTCCATTAGTGCCACCAATTCCAGTTGAACCACCTCCAATAGGAGTTATTGGTCCATTGACACCTCCATTGGTACCTCCATTGACGCCTCCGTTGGTACCTCCATTTCTGTATCCAATAACGTTTCCATTATTATAACGAGCGGTATTGCCATCATTGTCCAGATATCCAATATCCTGGTTATTGGTGTTATAAATGCGATTGTTAGCGCCAACATAGCCCACTGGCTGACCATTGCTGTAGATATAATTGTTGTTTCCACCATTTCCACCGTTACCTACACCTCCAATATTTCCGTTACCATTAGTACCTCCATTGACAGCACCCGGGTTTCTATAACCGATAACACCGTTTCCATTATAAGAGCGGGCAGTGTTGCCATCACTATCGAGATAACCGATATCTTGATTGTTAGAGTTATAGATGTGTCCATTGTTGCCGACATAGCCGACAGGTTGACCATTGGTGCCGTAGACATAATTGTTGCCTCCATTACCGGCACCATTGCCACCGTTGCCTCCATTAGTCCATCCGCTTCCACCACTTGTTTGAGTTTCACCACTACCACCAGCAACACCGTTAGCTCCGGTCAGACCATTAGTTGCTCCATTTCCATTGTTGTTCCAATTGGCACCGTTACCAGCATTTATACCATTATTTCCAGTAGTTCCTCCATTGGTTCCACCAGTTCCTGCCAAACCATTTGTTGCACCACTACTACCACCATTTTGTGCGCCGGTGTTAGTGTTAGCTCCATTTCCTCCATTATCACCGCACTGTCGGCTCTGATTTCGACGGCGATATCCGTCAACGATATTGTTGTTGCCGTCTCTGACCCGGACATCATCGGCATCGAGTGTACCGATTTTATCGTTCCAATTGGTGGCACCGTTGCCGTATCGGTAGACTGTGTTACTGTCGCCGGCGACAGTACCCACACGATTGCCGGCGCCATCGTAGACACCGTCACCTGAATAGTATGGTGCCGGTAGAGTACCGATGCGTCTATTGGAGCCGTTTTCCAATACGGTTTTCGAGTCATCGCCCAAATAACCGATATCTTGGCCGTCGCGCCACACGTGGTCACAGCAGCCAACGACACCGATCTGTTGGTTTTGATCGTTGCGTGCAATCTGATTGTCGTCGTAACCCAACCAACCAATTACTTTGTTGTTACCGTCCCGTATGGTTCGCTTATCAGTCTGGTCTACGTTACCGGTCACGCGTCCGTCGCGGCTAATGGTCTGTCCATTGGCGTCCAGTGTTCCCAGATTTTCGTTTTTGCAATTGTAACCGGTATTTACATTTTGTCGGGCACCTGTATGTCACCAAAAAAAGACAATATTATTTTTTTTAATTAAAACATTAGTAAATTGGTTTAGTTTATTATTATTTAAAAATTATTTTTTTTTAGTAAATTACAAATAATTATTTTAAATTAAAAAGATTAGTATTATTAGTATTTTATTAACAATTATTGAATAATTAAATTTAGTTATAATAAAAATAAGTTTATGAAGTTTACCTAATAGATAATTAGTGCATGATAATAAACAAAACGTAATAATTAATAATCTCATCTTGGTCAAATTGTTTTACTATACTTTAGATGAGATAACTATTATTAAAATTATAAGATAAGTTAAAAATTTCAATCTTATTTATACCAATTTAATTTACCTGACTTATGTATTTTGTAATTTAAAATTAATGTTAAATAGTCATATATATAACATGTGTATTTTATAATTAATTATCTATATTGACATCATTTTATAATAAAAAAAAATCAAAAATCTCTTAATACAAACAATAGTTTATTTTTATAATAAGTTTTTATTTTTTTTTGTTTTTATTTCTATTTTAATTAATAATTTTATCAATTTGACTGATTTTTTTAGTTTCTGAAAAGCATCATGACTATTTAAAAGTATTTAACATATATTATCATTTTTAAAAAAAATTTTTAAGTATATAATTGCATTATCAAATTTTACTATTTTTAATTAGATTACAACAAATTTATTTAAATATAATAAATAGTTAGTGATTATTTAAATAATTTTTCTACAATTTTGTTATTGCAATTTTTTACAAATTTAAATAATTATGCAATATTATTTAATTTGTATTTACCTTGATAGTTTATTCATATCTTTATTAATGATGTCTTTCAGTAACTATGGTAATAGTTTAGCTTTGACGACAATTATCCAGGTGGTTATTACATATGTATGAATGATTATTTTGTTATAACAAATATAACAATTAATAACATTTTTGTAATCAATACACAAATCAAAAAAAAAATTAATTCTATTATTATTTTTATGTTATTTAAGATAATTTGCTTTAAATAATGATAAACTTAAAAACACAATAAATGATTTAACTTATAATATGCATTTTAAATAATTAAATTTTTATTTAAAAAAACAATATTATGATATCTATTATTATTTTGTTATTATTTAGAATAATTTTATGATTTATTTGTAAGTAAAAAAATAATATTTAGTATTTTCTATTTTTTACTGGAAACATATTTTATAAGTTAATTAATTATTAATATTGACATTTTGTTATTTAAAATTTTGATATATAATTAATTTTTTATGATAATTGTTAATAACTAAACAATTATAATATTTTTATAAGTATTAGAAGTTAATTAAATAATTATTATTTTTGCTATACTGTACTATTGCTTAAATTATTTCAATGTAAACCTCACTATAATTTTGCAATTTATTTATCTATAATAGTTAAGAGATGCTAACTTTAATTTAGTTTATTTATTAAAAATATTTAGTATGCTTTTAATAATTTTTTAGATTTAAATTAAGAAACTTAAGTTTTAAATTTTATTTTAGATTAATTTTATAATATACAAATAAAAATATTTATTTAAATAAATATTTTTTGTAAATTACTTATACTTTAATTTTATTTATACTTATATACAATACATTGAAAAAATAAATTGTGTTTAAGTAGCCATAGTAATAGTTTTAATATTGTTTGACGACAATTATCCAGGTGTTACTGAAATAGCTAATTTTAAAAAATAACTAATAAATCAAAATAAAAAATAAAACTATAATTATTAGTACCTAATTCTAATGTATTGCATTATATAGTGTATATATATTATATCGTACAGTATATATATATATATATATATATATATATATATATATTGAAGTATATTAGATAATATAGTATTTGGATATAATTATTTGTAAACTCAATTATATTTATAGGATTTTTAAAGTAATATAAAAATTTATTTTATTAGAGTATATAAAATTGCAAATAAAATTTTTATTAAACAATAGTTTTAATAGTAATTTATTCAATAATATTTTTCAAAATATTTTATATATTTTACTTTTCAAACAAGTGATGGCAACTCTAGTCTTAGTTTTTATTAGTTTTTGATTATTATTTATCAGAAAATTTATTAGCAATTATAGCAGTTTTTTTTATAAAAATTTAATAAATATATTTTTACAAATAAATTAATTTATAAAATAACCTTTTTTTCTCATGTCAACCTTGATAGTTTATTTTTTTTGATTAATTTTATCCTGGTACATTATTTTAAATTACATATGTTGTTTTTATAAACTTTTTATTATTTAGCAAATCATTACCAGGATCTTATCATCATCAAATAGTCAAATTTAAAAAAATATATATTAATGACAATGAAATGTTATTGAATATATTGAACTAATTTTAATTATAACTACTACTATATATTAATTGCTAAACAATATAATTTATTTGGTTTAAAAATATGGTATTACTTAATGTATATTTAAATCCGGTTTGTAGTTAACAACTATTTAGACTATAAAATAAGGGATTATTTGTGTTAAAATTACTAAAACTAATATTTGTTTTTTTAGTTTGTTTTTTAAAACATTTTTTCTATAGATTATAGAATTTATTAATTATACTAAATTTTTTTTTAAAATGTATCAATTTATCGGATTTGTTGTATTAGTACTATTTTCAATGGTAATCTATGGTAAGCATTTCAAAAATAAAATAATTCATAGTATTATGTGTATATATCAAATATAATTGCTGTTAATAAAAAAAATAAATATTTAAATATTTAAGCTCAAAATCAATCAATCATACAAAATAATACGGGAGGCGGCACTCAAATTGCCGGCATCGGTACCAATAGCTCGACGGGTGTTACGGCCACCGGTGTTACCAATAACAATGCTACACAACCGGCGGCAGCAAATACTGGTACTACTGGTACTAACGGTCCCATTCAACCACTAGTACCGCAAACTGTCAATAATCCCTACTATTATTATTATCCATATTATTATTATGGCAAATAATGATTATTATTATACTATGATAACTAAATATGTTTTATTTATTTATTTACTTACTATTTATTATTTTTAATTAAGTTTTAAATTATGTTTTATTCAAAAAAAAAATATAAATAAATAAATATCTTATAAATTAAGTTAAACTAATTTTGGTTTTTGATTGACTCTTACTCTCTATACTATACTGTATATCATCCAATAGACGATTAAATTAATATCAAACTTAAAACACAAAATATATAATATATAATATTAGTACAGAATTATTATTAATATTAGTATTATTTGATTATATATCAAACAACAGTGAATAATGATTTTGAATTTGATGTCTAACAGAGAAATGCCAAGAATTTTATGGCCAAATGAAAACTCATTACTCGGGATCTACTCATCCCATAGATAGACATCAATGAAGAGGACGAGAGATAGAGAGAGAAAGAAAGAGAGAGAGAGAGAGTCAGAGGATATAACATATCATATAATCGGATCTTTGCTAATGATTTGACAGTTTTAAAGACATGACATTAAAAGATATATTATTTTTTTATATATACTATATATATATCATTGATAGATAGATATATTAATAATATCTATAGTATACTATACTTAACGCCTATTAAACCATTAATATGAAGACAAGTGTATAGAGTGTACAGTAATGTCAAGTCTGTGCGTCCAATCGTATTCATGGCTTTTCCAACTCAAATGGTTGTCCATTAGAGACGCCGTTATAATATTATTGTCTTTAAATGAGTGACACAACGTTATAGAGATGTCTAATGAAATCCATATTTTATATTAGGATTTCATATCACCCAAAGTTTTACCCAAAACACATACACACACACACAGTGTATATTGCATTAAACCCCTTAAAGTATATACACATATCTTATCTGTGATAAAACACAAGCCATTCATTGATTCATTATTTTAACCATTAATTCAAACCATTTATTATATATATATTATATATGATATATATTATTATCCGTCATTCAAGTTGTATAAATAAATTCATTAATTTATTAATTTTACGCTAAGTTTATGCTATAATATACAGTATATATAATTTGGTCTAATTTTATACAGAAATTTTTAATATTAGCCACATATTAGATGTTCAAAAAAAATTTAAAAGTAAAACATTATAAAACTTTTATATAAAACTCTCTAACTGTTGTTAATTAATTGATTAACTAACTCACAAAATTTTATTAATATTTATGATATGGATATTAATTTCAATTATCAATTTAGTTGCTTGCTAATATTTAGTAAACAAATTTTTTTTAATTACCCTGCTTAACAGCTGGCCCGTTAGCTCAGTTGGTTAGAGCGCCGTGCTAATAACGCGGAAGTCGCGGGTTCGATCCCCTCACGGGCCATTAATATTTTTACTAATATTTTATATTGTTAATACTTATTTTTAAAAACTAATTTATCTCAATCTCTATTATTTTTATATAACAATTATATAAAAACAAAAATAACTTACTCTATATTAAATCAATTTTAATAATGTTTTTTTTAAATAATATTTATAAGTTATTTAAATAATTTTTACTAATATTTTAATAATTTTCGTTAAAAAAATTAATTTGACTAATTGCTATAATTAATAATCATTAGTATTATTTAATTATTATTTAATGCTATTATTAATATTTTTTTTTAATTAAAGTTAAATACTATTTATAAATTTTGTTATTTTAATCATATAATAATTATTTATTTACCATTATATCTAATAAACTATGATATAATAATAATAATATACTGTATTATTTGATTTAATTATTCATTAAGAAAATGTTTTTAACATCAATTTGTCACTTATTAGTAGATTTATAATTATTTGTTAGTTTTTTTTCGTTTCTTTATTAACCATACTTTCCAATTGACTAAAAATGTTTCACTAATTTTGTTGTTGATTATAATCAATAGCACATATACCATGTCATTCAATCTTAAACTTAATTATTATTAAAATCATATATATATATATATATATATATTGATAAAATAAACTCTACATATCCCTGCATACTGTGTGTAGTGTTATTTGAGACAACAGTATGTGACTGACTAATGATTTCCAGTGATGTCAGTCAGTCAGTGGTAAAAAAATGCTAAAAATTTTATCGTTACCTACAAAATAAAACTCATTACTTGAGATCTATTATTTTGTGTGTGTGTGTGTGTGTGTGTGTTGTGTGTGTGTGTGTGTGTGTGTGTATAAAGATAGTGATATATATATATAATGATATAGCATATCATCGGATCTACT